TTATAAATATCCTTAATAATATGATCCATTTCAATTTGTTTTGATGGCATATGTGAGCTTTTAAAAAAAATTTTTAACTATTTATATAAAATAGAAAAAAAGAATTACCTATAAGGGCCTCCTAAATGTCCAATATGATCCAGTCCAAGATAATGTAAAATTAAAACATCCCAATCACTTCTTTGCATTTCAGGATAAACATTTCTTGTCACATTTGTATCTACTTCTGTAAAATCCTATAAAATTAGCTAGATAGATAAACATTTAAGATATTTACTGTCACATAAAAACTAGAAGTTCCTTCTGACCTAAAAAACAATCCCGGAAAAAGTCTTATCCATGTATCGTCACCGTACATTACAATTCTCTTACCTTTTGAAGCAATCTGTACTGGCCAACTGTCTTGATTAATATACGAAAATAATGTATTTGATTCTGCAATATTAAAAACTGCATCTAAAAATATTGGAATAGAGCCTGTAGTTAATGCTTTAATTCGTGGAAAAGTTACTGTTGGTGGAGATGCATATGCTGTATATGGATATGCTTTTCCAGAAAATATTAAACTACAAACGTTTAGTTATTTTAATTTACTATAAAAATAAAACCTTTGTGTAAAAAACATAGAAGAACTATTAGAGAAAACAAAATCACTACGTTATTAATACTTATATTTTAATAAATGATAAGTAAACCTTCGTAAAGCATCAATTAAGATAAACACTAGTCTATTAAAAGGAGCTTGTATTATTAATGAATCTTCTGAAAACTCATGAAGAATAGGCTTATATGGAAAAAAGCCTTTAGTAAAAAAGAGAATACTAAGGAAAGAAATCACTTGAATAATACAAAGGACTATATCTTCAGTAAATATATTTTTTTTTAACATTTTGATATTAAAATAACAGTTCGGATGAATTATACATGAATTTAAAAGAATGATTTAAATCAATATATGCTTAATAAATATTTATATTTCCATTGGTGACTCATGATGATTTTCATGTTTGTTAGTATTTAACTTCTTTTCAAAAGTATCTGCAACATGATCGCAAAGTGCCATAAGATCATCTAATCCTTTAAGAAAAACATCAACAGCAGAAACATTTCCTAAATCAACTTAGTTGTCTATTTTTTGTTTTAAAACTATGAAAATACTATATGTTTGGATGCGAAAATTAAGTTTTGGTTCTGATGGATGGGGAATCGAATATCCACAAAATTCCACATCAGGACTTTTTCATTAGTAGAAATTATATTTTATATATCTTATTACTTCTTCATAACTATATATCTCAGAGCATTTGCCAGTGTATGGTCTTCTTTGATAATTTGAAACGTTACTGATGTTAAATCATCTGAAACGCTTGGAATCTTTGAAACGTTAGGTAAAAAGCATTTGAAAAGATTTACAATATGTATTTTTTTTATATCTTCTTGATTATATAATATAGTATCTCTAGTTAAGTTCATTCATTTAAAATTTTAAGATAATTTCGAAGAAATATAACTTCATAAAATGAAAATAAGCGGTAAGTGATGAAAGAAAAAAGGATACTATAATTAATATGATTACTAAAAGCTTTTGAGTTTTTAATATATCTGATGTGTTTTTCAAAATTTTTCGCATTTAAAACAAATATTTAAATGGTTTAGAATATTGTATTTAATAGTATAAAAAAGATAAGTTTCTGGTTGTTGTTTTTATTGATAAAATGTATATTTTTCAGAAAAAAGAACTTAAAGAATTAGTAGTCAATTCTCCTATTAGAAAACGTAGTCAAGAAATAGTTATAGGATCTATTTCTATTATTGATTTCTTATCATCATCGAATGAATTTAGGCCTTTAATTAAGCAGTTACAGCATGCAAGACTGATTAATTATATAAATTTGCTGAAAAATGTAACATTTATTGCACCAATTGAAAAAGCATTTTATAATAGAACGAAATTGACAACAGATATATTAAAATATCATATTCTTAATGGTTTACTTTTTACAGACAAAGTAGACGATGGATTTGTCTTTAGGTCCCATATTTATACTCGTAATGGACAAGAATGTTCTGTAGGTGTAAAAGTAAAAAGAATTGTAAATCCTAATACAGGAAAAAAAAATGTAACTATAGGAGGTGTTTCTATTGTTAGAGGAAATTATGTAACACGTAATGGTATTCAGTGTTCTTACATTAATATTTTTTCTTATTTTATGCAGGTATAGTTCAAGTAACAAATGAGATAATGATACTTCCAGAAGACATGTGTTTGTATTGTGTTTTAGGTTGTTTTTATTTAATTTATAAATAGATTCTATATTTTCGACTGATCCTGATATGTTTATATTTAAGAAATTAATAGATCATGAAATTTTTGAACACAAAAAAATAACAATATTTGCACCTACTAATGAAGCGTTTAAAATTTTTAACAATATAGAATATACTTATCTTTTATCCAAATATGGTATTTTAGATTTAAAAATACTCATATTTAATCATTTGTTGACAAATGCTGTTATTTATAAAAGTGATGTTATTGATAAATTTTCGTGTAATTGATTTTTATATTTTTATTTTTATAACTAATATTAAGGAGTTAAGTCTGATTCAAATGAGATTTTAAGTTTTAGTAAAAATTCGACTGGTTTTTATATAAATGAATATAAAATTATTGAATATGATATTATTGCGAAAAATGGTAATGCATGTTAATATAGAGAACTAACTAACTTCTTAGGTGTGGTTCATAAGATATCAAATCTTCTTCTCCCAACGTCTTTAGAATTTACTTCCCTTAAATATCTTTATGGCATGGATACGAAAAAGTTTGCAGACGAGATTTTTGTTGCAGGGTTAGCAAATATTATTAATAATAAAACTGTGGAGCAAACAATATTTGCACCTATTGATTCTTCATTGTATTTAGATGTAAATATGGAAAATAATCGAATTGTACAAGAAATTAAATATCACTTTATATCTGGTTGGTTTGATCTAAGTAATTTAGATCAAAAACTTTTAACAACAAGAATGAAAGGAAAGCTACTTGGAGGAAGAAATCAGAAAATTAAAGTTTCAAGAAAAAAAGGAAAAGTATGGTTAAATGATCGATCATTGATTTTAGGAGGTCCATGTAATTTTCCTTATTATTATAGAAATATACTAATTTGGTACTAGTTACAATAGGAAAAACTAAAATTTATCGTATCAATTCTGAGCTTATACCACCTTTTTCATTTCCAGCAGCGGCTGCACCAATGTTTCATATATCCACAACTATGGAATACCTATATAATACGAATATTGATACACAATTGCACAATAGAGAATTAATTACATATTTGGTACCCTTAAATTCTGCGTGGGAGAGTTTAGGTTTAGTTAGGGATTATTTACTTTTAGATTCATCTAAAGATATACTAAGTGAAGTTTTACTCAATACTATCTTTAACGGTCTCTTTTATTTTGAAGAATTGGCATCGAATAAAACAATAACTACTCTTATTGGTGTTGAACTGACTATACAAAAAAAATTCTCTGAATTTTCTATTATTTCGGGAAATAATTCTCATACATTTCAGATTGAAAAAAGTAATATTCTTTTGGAAAATGGCGTAGCTCATACTGTCTCACATGTTTTTATACCACCAAATCTTAATATTACTCCTCGACATTTATTTTTAACTAAAAATATCTCTTTGTTTCCTCAGTTAATTGAATCTACTGATTTTTTTTATGCATTAAATCCTGAAGAAAAATTTACTATTTTAGCACCTATTGATAATGCTTGGAAAATTGTTAATAGTACGATTCGTAGTCGTGCGGTTTTACAAGAAATCATTAAATTGCATTTACTGCCACCTATATCAAACGATTCGGATTTTTTGAAAGATATTTGTTCTCGTCGAAGTTTACATAAAAGTGGAATTAATATAACAGCATCAAGACTCCATGATTCTTTGTATTATATTGTTTTCCGTTCATCCAGAAACTGTTATCAACAAGTTAATGTTCTTGGCGAAGGGAAAACTACATTTCACGGTCAAGTTCTTATTATTGATCGAGTTTTAGATCCATCTTGTGCTATTGGTTTATCTTATATTTACATTTTATGCGTTTCTTTCTCACTTATGATAATATTTGCAATAGCTGGCTTTTTTGTTAAAAGGTTTTTTCTTAAGTGTTCTTTTTGTAAGTTTATACTATCAACAGTATGGGGTTTTATTTCTATTTTTTCAAATAAATATTTAAGTTATTGGGATCATAATACACAGCACTATGATGAGCGTCATCCACTTTATTTTCCTTATTCATCAAATCAGCTTTCATCTAGACCTACTTTGCGTCGTATGTTAACAGTTTAGTTTATTGGGTTTTGATTTTAAATTTCTTTTTAATATTTCAAATTTTTTATAAATTTTATATTCTCATTTTATAATATCATAAGAATTAAATTTTAAGATTATTGCAGATATTTTTTAGAACTTTATATTGAATATTTGGTTTTTTAAAAAAAGTTTTATCATAGTAAGATTTATATTAATAAATTTTTGGATTTGTTGTATTTAGTTTTACATTCCTTATGTATTTTCATTTTTTCGATATTATTTAAAAAATGCGGAGACTTCTGTATTCATTTTTGTTATTTTTAAATAATTATAGATTTTATTTTCAATCTTTTTACTTGCCCTTTGAAATAAATAACTTATTTTAGAAGTTCGATAAGACCCCATTTACACCAGCCGGGAGTCGAACCCGGGGCCTTCGCTGAAACTATATGGGAAGCGAAGATTTTACCGCTAAACCACTGGTGTTGTTAGAGCTCACTCAGAATAATTAATAAATGAACAATACATATTTATTAGTAATTAGTATTTTTTATTTTTAGACTAATGTAAAATGATAGTTATGTTTTCACTAACCTTAATTTAAGGTATCTTACTATTTAATTGATATATGAAATTCTTTAATTCATGTTATTTTTTAAACAAAAAGCTGAACGACAATGGCAGGATTTGAACCTACGCGGGCAGAGCCCATTGCATATCATGCGAAAAGGCAATTCGAGTGCAACCCAGTAACCACTTTGGTACATTGTCAAGAAACTTCTTGTTAGCTAAAATATAAAAATTATAAATATATCAGTAGATGATTTATTAGTTTTATAGTATTATTTTTAAATAGTTTATTTAGCATGTAAATTAAGTCATTATTTTGATAGAATGGATTACATGTAATTAAATAGGAAAATAGTGTATATTTACTGTATATAATTATCCGTATCTATATATTTTTGAGAATAGGAATCTAAGAATAAATTGTGGTAAAGATGGATGATATAAATTAAAATATTAATATATAGGATTAAAACAGAACTATATACATTTCGTAGAAACATACTATTCCTATATCTCCATTTATATGCATATTTTGTAGATGTTTGTCTAGATATTTCATAGGTGTCTATCTAGATATACTTTATAAATGCTTATACATATTCTGTATAAATATTTATGTTAAAAATCTTTGAAAATGTTTGAAATGTTTTTAGAAGATATCAGTATTTTTGTATTGAATGATACTGCTTTGTGTTGCTTTGGGGCTCAAAAGATATACGACGGGTATGTAGTATGGATGATAAGACATGTTGCAATAACGTTTTAAGGGAAAGAACTATCTTTAAAATCTATATATTAATATTTGTTTTTGTTTTAAAAATATACTAGTAGATATTTTATATGAATAGAATACCAGTGATTGTTTTTTTGTAATTAGATAGGTAAATTAAGAGTTAGATTAAAAATTCAAATAAATGATCCATAACAGGAGAAATCTATGTTATATAGAGTAATTGCTATGAAAAATGATAATATAGACCATAAGATTGTTTTGTAATTTGCTAAAATATAAACTGAGAAATTTTTAAAAACATATGGTTATTTAGTGAAGACTCTAATATGACTTTTGTTTACAATAATATACATCTATTTGTTTAAAACTGGGTTATCAGTTTATAATGATTATTTCTAAATTATTATGAATAAAAAATGATTAAATATAGTATTTTGTTAGGATTTGAGATGGAATCTAAATTTAAAAAAAAAAAATTCATGAATTCCTTGACTTATTTTTGTTTTGTTAGTTATGTCCTGACATTTAGTAATACTAAAAAAAAAAATTAAATATTTAAATTGGTTTCTAAAATTTTACAGAATACATATTTTTGAATATTTTGAACTTAGAGAAATGAATATTTTGTAAAAAGGACGTAGAATGGACATTTAGGCAATAACAAATGTAGTTTAAGACACAACTTTATAAAGAAAATATCATAGTATTACTAAGGGATTTCATAATATTGTATCAGATAATATTATAAGCATGGATATTATCAAAAACTTAATTGAATATCATCACTTATATATGTATAAATACATTTTAAGAGACTCATATTATTGTATTTGCATATTCTAATTTCTTAAGAAATCGATACTTAAAACTTAATATTAGCATTTATGTTAATACTACATTTTTGTTATACTTTTAGCAGAAATCAAAAAGAATCTAATTATTCTATATATTAATATTTTTTAAAGTGTGATTTTTGATTTGTTTATTTTTTATAATAAGTATTTCATTAACTTTATTTATTTATTTTACGACTTATATGTATTTAGTATATATGTGTTTATATTAGAAAATTCGCAACTATTTTTTCTTTGATTCTTTTATTTAACATATATTATTTGTTTTAATGTTGTTATGAATCGATCAAAAAAATATTTAAAAAACGACTGCTGGCAGTCAAATAATTGTAAATTTTTACAGGATTGAGTAGTATTTATAAAGTTTTAGACTTAAAAACACTTAATATGCGTTCAAAATCTATGGGATCAATGGTTTCAGAGGCACAGCCTACAGCACTTCATGCAGCTCGATTGGCAATGCTAAAACAGTTGCATCTTCATTTTCCGATTGAAGAGTCCAAAATATGGAGCGACGATACACAAATAGATGTCATATCTTTGGGATCTATTGATCAGCAGTCAGTAGTAACTGGAATTAATGGATTTATGTCTATTTCAGAAGGTCATTATCGTATTCCAAAGAAGAAAATGTCAGCACCGTTGTTTTTTCGTAACAATAAAGAGTGTTCTCGCTTTCAAACGCTTTATAAGAATAAATTTAGTACTCTTTCTTTGCGTTCTTCAACTAAGAAAAAATCTGCTGCTGGAAGATTTGTTTTGCATCTTAAACGTACGTTTTCACATAAAAACTTGCTTTTTCAACGACCTGTTTCATCTGTTTCTCAATACAAGGAGAATTTCTGTCCTCCGCTTAATTTAAAAGAGTTGCCTAAACATGATCAAAATTCATCATTTACTTTATATGCTTCCAATACATTGACAAATGCTAATTGTCTTTCAAAAAAAATAGATGAAAATAATGAATTTTCTTTACTTAAAAGAAAGATAGCTGCTTTAGAAATTTTTGAGAGTCCAAATGGAAAAGAAAATAAACCACTGTCTGAAGATAGAAATAATGCATTAATCGCTTTATCGGAAGATAGGAAAAGTTCTTTAACTGTGCTACCAGAAGAAAATAACACTAACAATTTCTTTATTAATACTATAGAAAACGATAGCATTATACTATCATCCTACATCTCTAGTAATACTTCTTTAGGCTCTATAGACCATCGTGATAATGCTCGACCTGTACGAATTCTTACAAATGAAGTATCCCCTACAACAAAATTAAATTGTAATTTATATCAACCTCATCGTACACCTCCATATGATAAAGAAACAGAAATAATTAGTTCATTAAGTCCATTATGTCATTACCGTCAGAATCCTCCTCTACCAACACAATCACATCATTCACAAGTTACTACTTCAAATAATACACAGTTTTCTAAACTTGGAGACATGTTTTATTCAAGATCTTATAATATTAGATCACCGTCCGGATTAGAAAAAGCTGTTAATTTTAACTATGGGGGTATAGATGAATGGAGAAGAGAAATTCGGAATTCTATGCATTTAGAAAGAAAAAAAGACAATAAAGATAAATCTTTGTTTTTTTGATTATTTTTAGGTTTAATATTTTTTATAGTATATTTTTTTAAAACTTTTTCTAATTTTAGAGATTAAAATCTTTAAAATTAAGAAATGTTATGTACTGAATATTAATTTTAATCATTTTTTCTGCATGCGTTTTTTAAAATGCAATTTCTTTATTTTAACTTTATTCTTTACCATAATATAATAGTTTTTTGTATATAATTTATAAAAATATTAAATATTTATTATATTTACTTACAGATTTATTTTTAAATAAGCGAATAAATATTGTATTAAAAATATATATATTATTTTGAATCTTTTGTTTATGGTTATAATTTAATATTCAGTCTTTCAATACTGTTTAATGGTAATAAACATTGATTATTTAAAGAATTTGTTTGCTAAAATCAGTTGAATAATTTAATCTTTTAAAGAAAATCACATGCAAAATTGAATCCAAAAAATATTGAAACTATATAGTATATTTTTAAAAATTTAACTAGAATCCAATATAAATAGATTATGATCGAATATTTTAATTACGAAATTTATATACTCAAATACTTATAATATTTTTTAAAAAGTATAAAATTCTTAAATTTTTAATATAATTTTAGCAAAATTGATGTTTTTTTAAGATGATATTACAATTTTTTCTTTAATAATTCTTTAAGAAGAATTCCATCACTATGAAATTTATTAATACCTGAACATAATTTTTCAACCGCCATAACGTCACTAGTGATAATATTAAATATGCTTTAAAAAGCATTTTGATTACTTATTAAAATTCCATCTAAACGCTGATTCATTATTTATAAAAGAAACATTCTCCATTTCTGTTAATATTTTTGAATTTTTAGCATCGAGTTTTTTAACAACAGGATCATTTGAATTTTTTAATTCCTCTAAAAGAGAAGGAGATATAGTTAGATAATCACATCCTGCTAATTCTTTTATTTGACCAACATTCCTAAAAGAAGCTCCCATAATAACTGTCTAATATGTATTAATAAATATTGAGTATAAAAAGAAAAGTATACATTAGAATTCTTTTGTTTATAATAATTAAAAATTTTGGTAACAAAAACAACACCGGGGTCTTCCTGAGGCGAATAAGTTTTATGAGTAAGCGACATATAAAAGTCTAATATTCGCCCAACAAACGGAGAAATAAGAGTTACGCCAGCCTCTAAACAAGCTACTGCTTGACAAAATGAAAAAATAAGAGTCATATTACAATGAATATTATATTCTGATTCTAGAATTTTAGCAGCCTGAATTCCTTCCCATGTACTTGCAATTTTAATAAGAATTCGCTCTTTAGAAACCCCAAAAGCTTCAAAAAGATTAATTATGGAAACAGCTTTTTTAATAGTTGCTTGAGTATCAAAACTTAGACAAGCATCTACTTCAATAGAAACACGCCCAGGTATTTTTTTTAAAATTTCCTTACCAAGTTCAATGAGAAGCCTATCAAGGGCAATATCAACTTTTGAATCAATAGAACAATTTTGCTTATTTGCATATTCAACTGCAATATCTATTAATTTTGAATATATAGGCTTATTCATTGCTGTTAGGATAAGTGATGGATTCGTTGTTGAATCAGTTGGTTTGTACGCATCAATAACTAATATATTATTAAAAATTCTTTAAAATTTATATAAGATGTAACAACTTTCAAAATCACCACTATCTACTACTATTACTGATAAAAATCATTAGTTTTTTTAAAATATATTTCATTATTTTTCACCTGTGCCCATTTCTAATTTAGAAAGAAATTAGATAAACTAATATATTATCTTTTTAGCTTACCCTTCAATTTATCAAGTGTTGACATTTTTATTTTTTTAGTTTAAAATAGTAACAATAAAATATTTATGTTGATTATTTTTTGAATTTTATAAAATTATTTTTTAAAATCTACTTTTAATTGTAAAAAATTTAAAATTCAATAAAAATAAATTTAATTAATTATAAATTATCTATATTTTTAATTTATTACTTTAGATTTAATATTTGTT